TAATCATAATATATAAATTACACAACAAACATACGTTTCGACTCCGATCGGGTAATTTTCAATGTTACAAAAATTAATACAAAATTATTAAATTTCCATGTTACAAAAATTAATAAGAATCATTAAAATCTGAGTTAAAATAATTATGAAATTCAGTAGACATCTTAATGTGTGTGATAAATTAGTTCGCATTCTTCATTTTATGTTTCTGGTCAATAAAGTTAAAAGGTAGCAAAAAAGTGACATTTTAGTAGACAAAAGGAGATAAATACTTATTAAATACAAGTTAACAATATCTATGAATATAAAATGTACCTTGTCAAATATATGAATAAAATGCTGAGCGTCCGTTAATCAAAACACGAAAAAAATTAATATCACACATCGTAGCAGGGCATAAAATTATTGTTAAAATTTAAATTAATTTGCAGGACTAAACATCTGATTTGAGTGATGTCAGATAACGTAATGTTTGTTTTTGTAATTTTTATATTATGATTATTTGAATTAAAACCATTTTTACATTACTGACTCTTTGCCCTTATTATATCTATATTGTTAAAAAAAATTATTCAGATTTACTTCGTCCTCTTTAGCTGTACCACGTCGAAGTGCAAATTGCTCCACAATAAGTTCTTTTCTTTCTCGTTTTTCAACTGCCATTATACTCTCCCTTGATTCTTGTGATTCATTGAATGTATCCCTATCGTTATTATATAATTATAAATTATGAACACTTTAGAGCCATCATTTTATAATCGAAAATATGTTTGTTGCGGATATAAATTGTTTAAACAATTTTTGTACATACATTTCATCATCATTGTAGTCCATTTGTATTATACTGCCTACATTACTTCGGAATTTGTTAGATCTAGTCTGACACATCTCAAATTGAGCAATTCTTGCTTGTACTTCGTCCTTGTTTTTACAAACGTCGCATCTATTTTTACAAAGAGGTGGAGAATCCCCGAAATATTTAGAGAATACTGCGTGTCGACATCTATAAACAATAGCATGCAAATATCAATATTTATAATATATTTAAAATACCAAGTAATCCTTGAAACAACCAAAATATCTCAAATCGTATTTTATTTATATATTCAATTTTTAATTATTATAATTAAATTCTTAAGAACACACACAAATAAAGATCATACTTTGCTTCTAAAGAGTACGCAATACTTTTCTCAAAATTCTGCCATTTAATTTTCACAAGGTCAGAGTTCTTATGGGTGATTTCCTCTTTGATAAGAAATGAAATAGGTCCATATTCTTCGTTACTAAAATAAATCCTGCAGAACGCCGGCTTCCCATCTCTGCCTGCCCTTCCTGATTCTTGATAATATGCTGCAATATTCTGAGGTACTGTCCAATGAACTACAAATCTAAACGTATTCATATAATAAACAAATTATTTTTCTTAACATGTAATACTGCTTTTTCGAAAATGATAGAATTACCTAACCGATCCCTTATCGACACCCATTCCGAAACTACATGTTGCCGCGATAACAGGTACTTCACCTGCCGTCCACTTATTTTGTACTTCATTACGTTCCTGAGTTTTTAAGCCTATTCAAGTATTATAATAAATAATATTATATGTTTACGAGTTTGTGTATTAACATGCTATATAATCACATACTTCCATGATATGCAAGCGTAGAAATACCCGCAAGAGTTAATTTATGCGCAACAATTTCAGTTGCTTCCTTTTTTCTACAATAAATGATACCACAATTTCTTTTATGCTAAAAATACAAAGAGGACCTATAATATTAATCTGTATAATTAATACGACGGACTATTGTTACACTCCTGTAACAATAGTAGAATTTAACTTACCATAGGAATAGAATTATCTGAGGGGCCAAGTGTATCTAAAATAAAGTTCTTTAGATGTATAAATGGTTTATCTAATGTTTCTTGAAACCATACATCATAATATAAATTAGCACGAAATACTGGTTGGGAAAATATTGCTGCATTTTTCATATGCAAGCTTTGGAGAATATCGTCCTTTACCTGCAACGATATTCAATAATGTTATTCTAATGTAATAACCGTCAAACATAAATATTAATATTTTCTTAGATGATTTGCCTGTTTTGAAGCAGTTGCTGTTAATGCAATCATAGGTATCTTGGAACACAATTTTTTAAAAGTTCCTAGTTGTCTGTAAGTTGGTCTAAAATCATGACCCCATTCACTTAAGCAATGAGCTTCGTCAATAACGAAATATGAGAGTGTTTTCTTCTTTTGCATTTTAGTTATGGTTTCCTACAAATTAAATGTAAATAATGAAAAAGATTAAAAAATCAAGATGAAAATGTTGAAATATTATCAACTAGCTTTTGAAATGATTTAAAATTATTCCTTATCTTACATATGTGCATGCATGCACAAACATGATAAAATATAAAATAATAGAAATAGGTATTCCTTTCAATACAAGAGATAAAACAAAAAAATACCTGAAAATGATGTTGCGCTCCCATTTCAGGAGTAACATATAATAATTTTATCTTTGGCGCATCTGACAGTAAATCTATCATAATGGCGTTTCTCTCTTTGCTAGAAGTAGTAGAATTCAAAGAGCAGGCATTTATTTTCTTACTCACCAAACAGTCAATTTGATTCTGAAAAATTATATCAATATTCAAGTATCTGTCTTCATTCAAATATATATTCAATCAATATTAAGTATTAATATTAATAATATAAGTATTATACCTTCTGGAGTAGATATAAAAATCTGTTACATAATTGCTGTTGCTGGATTTGTATAAATCTTATTAAATTTATATTAATTAAAAGGTATTAATTAATTTTTAAAGTAATCAAAATGACAAAGCAGAATGAATATTAACAATAACTATATTTTAATAAAAATAATCCAAATTTGTACAAATGTAAAGAAATTGGCTTGATATTTTTTACAAAGAGATTTATAATTGAATGGATCTAGTAAACCCATCATCAGCTCTAGAGGAATATAATTAAATAAATTTGTAACTTATTTAATTAAAAGATACTTAATTTAAAGAAATAAAAATGACAAGAAAAAAATGGATAATAAATACATTTTAATAAAAATAATTTAAATTTTGCAGATGTAAAGAAAACTGAATTGACATTCTTGACAGAAATATTTATAATTGAATGGGTTCAATAGATCCATCGTCAGCTCCAGAATGTAAAAGAAAAAGTATTATTAACACTTCTCTTCTTCTATGTTTAGATTTTCGTTTTTATATAAGAAAGACATGTATATAAAAGAAATACAAATTAATGATGTACAAAAAATACCTTCATCAAAGCTAAGAGCGGTGAAAAGACAATTGCAACTTTTTGCTCTTTTATTATCGCTGGTAATTGAAAACAGAGAGACTTCCCAGAGCCCGTAGGCATGCATACAAATACATCTTGCTTTCCTAAAATCGTCAACGTTTTATAAACAGGCTTTTACGAAATATTTCATCATAAAAGAAAAAAAAAAGAAAAATGCGAGGAAAATATCACAGCTACTAAGAGAGATAATAAAAAAGAATCAACGTTTCACAGAAACCTTTGTAAATAGCAGTAGTGGCCTGCCTCTGAATGTCATTTTTGAAATCCTCATAACCGAACTTCGACTTTAAGACACTTAGCAACATTCTTCCTTGTCACTCACTTCGACCCTTTTCAACAACGAAAATTAAAGATGGACTTCACAACGTTATACGTTGTTTCTGATCAATCTGATTGTATTCGATAAACACGAATATTTTTGTCAAGATCACGCGCCACATGGATACGGAATTACGGATCAACTGATCAGGCAAATCAAGTACTACTCAAAGTCAGATTAGGTTAGCTTATATGTTAAGTTGGGTTTGAAAAATAATCTGTCTACTGTGGCGCCTCAATGTGCACAAAGCTAGAGACACTAAAAAAGAGTCCGGAGTTCTGGACATTTTGTAAAAGTTTTCATTGGCTTTGAACTATAATAGCGGAACCAATCATCAATGCTATTATATCTCCACTTCAAGTACAACGAATGCGGTAAAATTTAGATTTGAGATAAATACGGTAATTGTGAATTGTGACAATAAAATTCATGTTTGCGGTAAACCAGATGTTTTCCTAAAAAAAAAAAAGTAAAATTTAAATTCCTAAAGAAAACGTATTAGAACGAATAAATTTGTGTTAAATTTTCGAATCCGAGTTATCCATGAAAAAGGTATTGAATTTTATAGCACTATCCTGACCTTTATATCTAGGAGAATAACTTACACCGAAATTAAAATTAATCTATACTAGTAAAAATAAATATAAGGCTCGATTACACAATTCGTGGTATATATTTAACCAAGACCAAGACTCACAATTCACTATAACAATAATCTATCATAATTTTCTAAAGTAAAAATAAATTTTATATTCACAAAAAGTATTAAAATTTGTGTTTGTAATGCTATTACATATATATATAT